TAAACTTAATAGTTTTACTAGTGAAATTAAATCACTTGTAAAACTTATTGATAATTATCAAAGTAAACTGAATTTGTATAAAGAAATTGAATTAAATCATAATCATTTAATTAAAGAATTAAATAATAATGAAGAATTTGTAAATAATTTTACCTTGGAAATTTTAAATGATAAAGATTTAAATAAGAAATTAAAAGAAGTTAATGATGAGATTAAAATAATGAAAGAAAACTTATCTAAAATCGATTTAAAAAAATCTGAAGAAGATTTTAAAATATTAGAAAAACAAATGAATGTTTATTTAAGTAACAAGAAGAAATATGATGATTTAGTTAATCAATTAAATTATGAAAAACTTTCTTATAAAGAATTACTCAATTGTGAATATGATAGCCCTACAAGTATTAATGATGAAATGAATGAATTAACACAATTTAATAAAAAAGTACTAGGTGAATTATATAAGAAAAGAGATGTTCTTTTAGAAAATAATGTTAAAATTAAAATGGAAATTAATTTAATTAATAATTATTTGAGAGAAAATCAACTAACTTTGAGAGATGATAGTTTTAATGTAAACAAAGAAGTTAATATTGATAGAAATTTTTTTGAGAATGAAAAAAAGATTTATAATGATTTAAAGATTAAAGAAAATGAATTAATGATGAAATAAAATAAGTTACTTAAAATGAATAAACAGAAAGATGAGTTAGTTAATAAGAGAAGAAGGTTTAATGAATTAACTGAAATGATTAATAATTATCCAACATATGATAATAGTTTAAAGGATTTAATAACTGAGAAATGCCATTTAGAAAAAGAATATTACAAGCTTAAAGAAACTAAAAATATTGCAGTTATAAGAAATAAAGAATCAGAAATCAAATTATCAAAACTTAAAGAAAAATTATTTAGTATTAAATCAACAATATTGAATAGGGAAAAAGATTTTGAGGGGTTATTTGAAGAGTTAAGTAATCTTAAGTTTATTGATTCACATTCAAGAAACAACCTTGAAGAAACTGTTCAGAAAATTAATAAAGATATTGATTTCCAGAGGGGTAGAAAAGAAATATTTACTTATTTTAAGGAAAAATTAATTGATAATAAGTGTGTACTTTGTAAAAAAAATTTATCTGAAAAAGAAGTTGTTGCAATTAACAATCTATTAAACAAAAGTATTAAAACTTTAGAAGGAGTAATTTCTGAAAAGATTAGTATGCTTGAAAATCAAAATAATTTATTAAACAGTTTTTAAATAAATAATGAAAAGATTACCAATGAGAACAAGAATATTGAAAAAATTAAAGAAATTTGTAATGAAATTAAAGAGATAAAATTTGTTGAATTAGATTCTGCTACTGATGAAAAATTGTCAAATTATGAAAAAAAGATAAATGAGTGTTCAGTTATGATAGATTTAAGGAAAAAGGAAGAGTTTAAATTAGAGGGTTATTTGAAGGAATATAAAGTTCTTAAAAATATTATTGATAATTCTAAAGAAAATAATTCTAATGATGAAACTATTGAAGATATTGAGTTAGAATTAGATCAAGTACAAGAGGATATTGAAACTAAGAAGGAGAGTCTTAATAGTTTACAGCAAGAGATTTTAGAATATGAAAAGTATATTCAAAAAAGAGATAGTGAAATACAAAATAGAAAAATTTGTGATGCTAAAGAATCTTACAACAAAAGATTAGATGAAATTAAAGAAATGAAAAT